GCCCCACCCGACCGGGCCCGGGAGCCCGGCGGGAACCGGGACCCGACTCACCCCCCTTCACTCCGTCTAACGGCAGGCCTCTGCGGCAGGGCGGCCTCCGCCATCCCAGCCCACCCCAAACGCGCACCGGCCCCCGCCACAACCACGCCAAACACGGCCCTTGGAAGGTGGCGGAGATCGAGGAGGTCGCCCCCGGGCAGCAGGACACGACGGCGGCGAGGATGACGGCGGATGGCACTCACCATCATCCCGGCGGCTCCCCTCGCTGCCGCCTTCCGACAGGCCCCACCCCACAATGCACCGCGCCCGCCGAGAAGCTTCCCCGGGGCGGGAGGGGAAGCGCGCGTTGCTAGGCGACCGCTTCCGGCCACGCTCTATGGTACGGGCGGACAGAGCGGCCCCAACGAGCTGCCCCTCCTTCCCGAACAGCCATAGAGAGGGAGGGAGGTGAAGGCGGCCCGGGAGGGCGGCTCACTATTTGCCAAGGGGAGGAAGCGGGCACACGGCTTGGGGCGAGCAGGGCTGGCGGATGGAGCTTTATTTGGCAGGACCGGCGAGGGGACACCGAGCTGACAGGGACCGAGGGCGCAGCTGCGGCCGGTAGCCGCGCAGGCCTCGGCGCCTGTCCTCCCCTTCCCCTCAGGAGATTGATGGCGGCGTGGACCAATAGAAAGAGGCGGGGAGGAGGCGCTGCCAATAGGCGCGCGGCGGGGGCGGGGCGGCTGGCAGCGCCGGGCGGCAGCCATGCTCCGCCGCTCGCTCTGGCTTTGCCTCTGCCTCTGCTCCTGCCCGGCCCGCGGTGAGTGCGAGCGGCCCGCCCGGCCCCGGCACCCCGCACCGAACCGCCCGGCTGCCTTTCCCCTCCGTGCACCCCGCTCCGGCTGCGGTTCCCCTCGGTGCTAGCCCGAGCCGGGTGCGTTTCCCCTCCGTGCACCCCGGCCCCGTGTCATTTCCCCCTCCTGCACCCCAGTCCGGGTGCGTTTCGCCTCCGTCCACCCCGATCCGGGTGTGTTTTGCCTCCGTGCACCGCGATCCGGGTGCGTTTCCCCTCCCGCACCCCAGTCCGGGTGCGTTTGCCCTCTGTGCACCGCGATTCAGGTGCATGTCCCTTCGCTGCACCCTGGCCTCATTGCATTTCCCCTCCTGCCTCCCAATCCGGGTGCATTTCCCTTCCATGCACCCCAGCTCCATTGCATTTCTCCTCCTGCCTCCCAATCCGGGTGCCTTTCCCATCACTGCACCCCGGCACCATTGCATTTCCCCGCCTGCCTCCCAATCCGGGTGCATTTCCCCTCCATGCACCCCAGTTCCATTGCATTTCCCCTCCTGCACCCCAATCCAGGTGCATTTCCCCTCCATGCACCCCCACCCCATTAAATTTACCCATCCAGCACCCCAATCCAGCTGCATTTCCCCTCAGACCACCCTGGCCCCATTGCATTTCCCTCCCTGCACCCCAATCCGGGTGCATTTCCCATCACTGCATCCTGCCCCATTGCATTTCCCCACCCAGCACCCCATCCCAGGTGCATTTCTTTTCAGGGTACCTCAGTCCAAGCACATTTCCCCTCTGTGCACCTCGATCTGGGTGCACATCACCTCTATCCCCTCCATGGTCCAGCTGCATTTTCCCCTTCCCCTGGTGCACCCCAGTCCCAGTGCCTTTCCCCCCCATCTCCTCTGTGCTCCTGGATGCTGGTGCCTCTCCCCTCACAGCACCCCAGGCTGAACCTGACATTTTGGGTCCTCGGCCCCAGGGCTGAAGGGTGCATTCCCTTCAGCGTGGTACAGTTCAGGAGCAGTAGCTGGATATTTTCTCTTTTTTCAGGCATTTTCCCTTTTGTTTTCTCTGTCTCTCACCTCTCTCCCTGCACGCCCAGGTTTACGCATCCATGAATACTTGTATTTCCAAGTGCTGAGCCCTGGAGATATCCGCTACATCTTCACCGCCACACCAGCCAAGGATTTTGGTGGCGTGTTTGTAAGTATTAAGAACTGAATTTGTCAGTTTGGGTCCCTCCATCCTAGTATTTCTCCATTGTAGGGCCCAACGATTTGAAGCATTTTATAAAAATGGAGCTAATTGCTCTTCCGTGAGCCTGCCCTTTAGGAAGAGGCACATGCTGGTCCCTGCCTTCAGCCTCAGCAGGCTTTTGGGGGGAGAGTTTGGTCTCACATGTGTCCAGGGAGCACATGCCCCACTCTTTCCTCCTCCAAGGGCTGAGAGAGGCACAGCCATGTCCCAGGAGGGCTGGTCGGGCTGCCATTAGGAAAGGCAGAGATAAACCAACCGGTCTGCAGACTTAAGACCTTTCCCTGAAAAAACCCGGAGTCAGGATGGGGGTGCAGGAACAGATCTGCTAGGAAGCACATGGGACATCGAGGACCAGAGGAAAAGACACTTTCTGGCTCTGCACGTGTTGCCCAGGAGCATTTGCATGTATGGATGGCGCCGTGCCTCAGTTTCCCCTCCCCACAGTGATGGCAAGATCTAGGCAAGCTGTTGAGTGAGGTCGGGATGGCTCTGCAGGGGCTGGAACGGGGCAACCAGCGTCCTTGCACCCAAGAGCCCTAAATCTCCCCAAAAGCACATGCCTCACAGGGATGAGCAGGGCACGGGACAGCGGGGAGAGCCACAGTGGGGCTGGGGATGGGAAGCTGCCCCGATCCCCCCCGCCTCGCTCACCCCTGGCTGTCTCCTTCTCGGAGAACACAAGGTACGACCAGATCCACCTGGTCCCGGCAGATCCCCCCGAAGCCTGCGGAGAGCTGAATAATGGTGTCTTCATCCAGGACCAGATTGCCTTGGTGGAGAGGGGGTACGTCTGGCGTCACGGGAGCTGTTTGGGGGGGAACCCTCGGGCAGGAGGGCAGCTGCCCATGGCACAGAGGGGGACAGTGCTATGGCTACATTTGACCATCCCCTCCAGCTTCTTCCCATGACTTACCCCGCATGGGTATACGAGGAAAATGCAAGGGTGCTTCTGCCCCAGAACATTTCATGGTGTGTGTCTTAGAAAACTGCCTGCACTAAGGTGGAAAAAGTCCTTTTTTTTTTTTTTTTTTTTTTAGAAGAAAATGGCTGAGTGTGGGCAGCCTGTGCCTAAAATACAGACTCAAAGAGGAGTAGGGTTTGGGGGAGGCGTGGGGCCAGGGAGACAGTCCCTGGTTTGGGCGTCTCCAGGCAAGCTCTGGTACTTGCAGGTTTTGTACCTGCCAAGGATGTGCCAGTGGCCACCAAAGGTTTGTCACTCTCTGGCCCAGGGGTTGCTCGTTCCTGTCGAAGACGCGTGTGATCCAGGAGCACGGTGGACGGGCAGTGATCATCGCAGATAACGCCTACGATAACGACAGCTTCTATATTGAGATGATCCAGGACAGCACCAGGCGTACAGCCGACATCCCCGCGCTCTTCCTGCTAGGCAGGGACGGGTAGGTGCCTTAGCCAAGAGACATCGCATCTTCCCGAGCATGGAACATCTCACCGGAAGGGCCAGGCGACGGCCTTGTCCCCAGAAATCAGGGAGGTGCCAGTGATCAGCATGTCCCACCTGGGCTTGCTGAGCCAGATATTTAGTGGATTCAGTCATAATTAATCCACAGTTTCTTTTTGAGCTGGTTTGTGGTTTATGCTCACATCTGGGCTCCATTTTCCCAACTCAGGCAGCTCACATGTGCCTGTCACCTCTTTATCCTTCCAGGTACATGATCAGACGCTCCCTGGAGCAGCACGGGCTCCCCTGGGCTGTCATCTCCATTCCCGTCAATGTCACCAGCATCCCCACGTACGAAATGATGCAGCCCCCCTGGACCTTCTGGTAGCAGTGGGAGGCTGCAGTGGATCGAGGACGTCTCGGTGGATCCCAGGAGCTTGCCTCAGGGACCAGGTTTGAGGAGAGTCCCAGTGCACTCCAGAGATTCCACCGCCCAGCCTCGCCGGATTCAGCAATGGTGAGAGCTTTCTGCTGCTGCCGGCGTGTGGCTGAAGGGCAAACACCAGTGCCCGCGGTGGGAACCTCGAGCCTGGTACCGAGCACCCTTTGTCGTGACTTTCTGGGAGGGAGGCGATGGCCCAGAGCAGGCCAGCACTTCCCCAAGAAACATTTTAACAATGCGAAAGATGCCACCAGTAATTTGTGCTGCTGATTTAGAGGGATGCAGGATCGAATGGATGCGGTCTGACAGGGATGGGAGGGAGAGCAAGATACAGGCTCGGTCTGTACTAGCGGGGCTCACCCAACATCTGTATATTTTTGTCTGAGCTAATGAAGTCTGAACAAGTTTTAGAGAAAGGCGAGTTTCTCTTTTTTTCAGCAGTCAGGGGATGAAGGGACAAATCTCATCCCCTAACAACATTTTTCCTAGTAAACTTCCCAAGGTGCCTCCTGCAGCCAGGGCAGAGCTCACGTCAGACCCCCATGCAGCATGGATCAGTCATGCACTGGGGCAGAAACAGCTTCACAGGATAGCACTGCCTCTGGCATCCGTCCCCAAGGGCGGGCTGTTCACAGACCCAGAGCCCAGACCTCAGTGGGCATCTATTCCCCCATCCCCAGACCTCCACGTCCCCACTGGGTCCAGCCCCTGGATCGTAGCCCTCATCTCTGGACTCTCCACCCTCCAGTTTACCAGTACAAACGACACGGCCCCGCTTCTCACCGGTCTCGGTTTATTACGAACACTGAAGGGGACGCGGCCCCGGGACGGCTGGGGACAAGCAGTGGGGTGCAGGGCTGGCGGTGATGGTAGTGTCAGAGGTGCCCATCTACAGCGTCACCCTCAGTCCCGCAATCCAGCTGCCACGGGCTTGAACGAAGCAGCGGCAGGAAAACAGCTCCCCAAAATCCAAGAGGGGCGGAAAATACCCCAGGCGAATCCCCAACCTGCTGCCTGTCCATCGCTTGGAGCCATCTTCTCCCTCCGGCTTCATGGTCCACAGACAGGGACACCGCAGACAGCGGTATGGCCTCATTGGTGGTTGGCAGCATGGGATGGACAATGACGCTTGGCTGCCGGTGACATCTCCATGCGGGGCCACTCGGAGCAAGGAAGCATGTCCCCGGGCATGGCGGCTCCCGCTTGGGCGCGTCCTCCTCCCAAAGCAGCCCACAGCCGGACAGCGTGGCGGAACGGCTTGTTTTCTGCAAAACCCAAAACGTCTTTTGGGTTTTGGATGGTGACTACGCTTACGCAACACCGTAGCCCATGTCGGCTCTGGGCTAGCAGCAGCTTGGCTGTTCCCCCTCCCCAAAAAGCCCAGCAATCGCTGCACAGGGCTTTGCATCATGTAAAGGATGGGGCTGAGGTGGAAGGGAGGTGCCTGCCAGGGTCGGCCCCACTCTCCCCACTGGACTCGGGCATCTGAGCCACCCTCTGAAGTGTCTCTGTCCCACCTGCAAAATCATTTTGCCCCTTGCTGCTCACCGAGCCAAGGCATTGAATGGAGCATATATAAGGACCCCGGCTCCTTAGTGTGTAGATAGTGCTAATATAGACATTAAATAGTACCCCTCGTGCACAAACACACTTACACACACGCACACACGTACGTTCCCCTCGTCCCTGCGGGGTAGGAAAGGACATGCTCCTCCGCATCCACGGCCGGCACAGACACGGCGGAGCAGCCTCGCAGGTGGCCACAAGGTGACCATCGTGATGTCCCAGGGGCTGGCTGGACCCCGCTCTCCTCCAGCCTCCCCTGCAAGCACCAGCCAGCCCCTCCAGGGACCGGGACGCAGGAGGGGACCACCGGCTCGCAGCCTGTCCTCACAGGGAGGACGGGGACGGCCTGACACACGCACACACACACACAGCGCACAACAAGGACAGGCGGGAGCAGGGCCTGCCTCCGGCTCCCCCGCTGCCCCACTCCGCCAGACCTCCGCACCCACCACCGGCACGTGGCCTCCCACCCGACCCCACAACACAACCCTGTTTCTAGTATTAAAGCTGCTGCCCCTCGGAGGACCCCCCTGTCCCTTCCCTCTCCTCTCGCCCAGGGCCAGGATCAAACGTCAGTCATCTCATCCTCCAGCTCAGCATCATCCGTCTCCCCTTCGCCCTCCTCCTCTTCATCTGACGTCACGTCGGCATCATCGGCTTGCGCTAGGCACTTGGGACACGAGCAGGTAAACAAGTAGTTCTCCCTGGAAGAAGGGAAGGAGGAAGGAGACAGAGTGATGGTTTTGAGACAGGCACAACCCCAATGCTGCTGCTGGGCAGGGGGTCGGGGACAGAGCAGCCAGGAAAGGGCTAAATATGTTAAACCCAGAGGAGTGTGCGGGTTCAATCATGCTGGGCTCAGGTGGGTAGGAGGTAGTCTGGGTGGAGAGGGGGATTTCTGAGCCCTGCAGGGGTAACGGGACAGGGGGACAGTGACCATCAGCAGGAACCCCTACCCTTGAAGGGCAAAGAAGGAAACGTAAGGTGGGTGGGGACAGCAAGGGTTTGTAGGAATGAACTGCAGAGTGGTACAAGCCTGCAGAGAGAGGAGGAGGACCCCAAATCCTCGGTCCCTGAGGCTACAACACATAAGAAGGAGCTCGAAGCACCAAAAGCACAACACGCTGTGTGCGCACCCTGCCACGAGCATGCCGGCTTGCACGCCAGCCCGTGCACAGCCACACACCAGGGCACACACAGGGCCCAGACTGACTGGCTGGGGGTGCAAAGGGGTGCCGTGTCCCCCCAGGTCCCTCCAAGCAGCCCCTACCTGAGTATCTTGTTGCGGCTGTGTCTGCTCCGCTCCCTCTGACAGCAGTCTAAATAACTGATGCAGATTTCCTGTGAGCAAAGAGAAAGAGGTTGGGCTGAGAATTGCTTCCCGTGAACCCAGAGCAGCACGATTTGTACCAGTTCCTCTCAGAGTCGGGCAGAAACATGGGGTCTGGCAGCCCCTACATGGGATGAGGCGTGAATTCCTCTGCCAGGACAACGCAAGAGACAGGAGGTATGGGGCTGGGGTCCATGGGGGATGTAGTGGACACAGGGACCCTCTGCCAAAGTGCGATGCCACCCCAGGTTCATCGGGGTCCCGCTGTCTAACCTCTCCTGCTTCGATGTCCTCCAGAGCCGTCAGATGCAGGAGGAAGTTGTTTTCCGGGAAGGATGTCTCAGCATTGGGGATGCAGCTGTGGTTACCTACAAGGAAGACAGGACACAGCTGAAGGCATCTCCAGAGGAAGGGGAAAGCAGAGGCAGGGTCGGAGACCCCATACAGTCCACAAGGGTTGTGCCCCCCTTTCTGTGTGGCCCAGCCATGCAGGAGCCAGTGCCTCCAACTAGGAAGGCCATGGCCTGGCTAAGAATAAGGCAGCACGATGCTGCAGCCACCCCATCTACCTCAGGGACACCAGTACGACACTCTCCACTCACGCTGGGGACACTAGGGGGTCCAGCGGAGCAGGGTGCAGGGCCAGGGCTCTCTGTCAGACCCACAAAAACCACTCAAGAGAGAGCAAGCTGTCTTGGATCAACCCCAGGGACGCACAGCACCATCTCTGCCTCCAGGTGGTGAGAGAAGGATGCACAGGGCTGTAATTCTCCCCTACTTCCCAGCTCTCCCAGCAGCCACTCCCCAGGACCTGCTCGTCCCCACTCTGCCGTTAACGCTTAGGAGTGAAAGAAGATGGCTCCGGGTGCGAGGACATCCTCTCCTACGTCCCCCTGACCCAGCCAAGAAAGGCACCCTCCCTTAATGGTTTGTTCAGCTCTGTTTTGCTCAGACAAGGTTGGAGACGGTCTCTTTGCTAACTGCGTATGTGGCTCCCGAAGGCTCTATCGCATCTGAGTCCATTCAAGCCAGGACTCACCACTTCATAGCTAGGTTAGATGCCAGAAGACCCCGAGAGAGCAGCCAGGCTCCAGGGCAGCACCCATTCCTTTCCATCCCACCACACCCATAGATGGGAAGCGTAAACCCCTTTCTCCAGAGGCGTTTAGGAAGAGGTGAGTCAGTCTAGCCCAGGACATCCCCCTCCTCACTACTAGTTTTCCTCCCAGTCCCTGCGTTACTTACAGCAGCTCTGGAGCACGTAGAGACCCGATCCCTCGCAGTTGAGGAACTCTCCTGACTCTGCAGCACAGACAGGGGGGTTAGAGCTTTGCATGGGCTGTTCTGGCTCTTCCACAAGTGCAGCTCAGCGTGAGCATGAAGGGATGTCCATCAACGCTGAATGCACCCAGCCAGCACTGCTTTGGGGGCCAGGTGTTGGAGGGTGACTTCCAAAGCACCCTTCCCTCCCCTCTGGGAAGGGACGGAGGACATGAAGATTTGCACCCCCAGGATCCCTGGCCTGACCCTGTACTCACACAGCTGCATCAGTCAAAAAAGTGATAAACAGGTCTTTGAATGTTTAGTGTAGATGGAACTTTGCTGCACAGGATCCCTCCAGATCAGCCCTCCAACCACCCCGACCTGCCGCAGGTTGTGCTGTCCACAAACTTGGATTTGCCCTATCCACATATCAAACCAAAGGCAGCAGGCACAGCTTGCGTGGACCAGGGGAAGTGGGATCTCCCAGTCCCCAGCAGGAACCCCTCCCAGTCCCTGAATCCCAGGAAGCCTCCAGCAGCAGAAACTCTGCCAGGTCCTGTAATCAGCACTGCTTGACGCTGCCCATGGTCACTTCAGAGCCTCACCCTTCTCGATGTCCTTGTAGAGCTGGTCGATGAAGGCATCCAGCTCCTCTCGCTGCAGCATGGGGAGATCCAGTGCATCACAAGCGTGCACCCACTGGCTCAGAGAGCTGTCGGGAAGAAGAGGGACACCATTACAGTCCCGCAGTGCTGTCGGCACATGGTGGGACCTTGCACAGGGGATCTAAGGGTTGAACTCGGTGGCTCTGAGTGGCCAAGGTCTGGCAGAGGGATGCAAAAGGGTTGGACACAGCCAAGATGAAGGACTGCTTTTAAGTTTGCCTCTCCATCCCCGTCTCTTACGTCTGAACCCAGCCATTACCAGGCCAGCGTGGATTTACAGACTGTACATCCCTTCCATGCCACATCTCTGCTGCTCTGCAAGGAGCACCCAGAAAGCCCCATTACCTTGTTCCTATGCCTTGGCCATTGGTCCCAACGAGGGCAAAGAGGGATCGAAAGCCTTCTGGAGTGAACCACTGCAGAAGGGAGATGAGAAAGCAGCTAAGCCCAGGCCAGCCTGCGGCAGCACCCCACTCTACAAGTGCCTCAAATCCCACAGGGAGCTTTGGGGGAAGCAAGGAATGGGCAGAGTCCCAGGGGAAGCCCTGGCCAAACAGAGGGTCTCACCACACTCCTGGGCTATTTGGGAGGCAGCTCAACTCACCCTGCTGAGATGTTCGTCATAAAGGGCTTCAGTGAAGAGCAACCGCAGCAGCTCCAGCTGGCCCTGGCAGGACACAGCAACACTGTCAGGGTGGGGAGATGCCGCTGGGTGTCACACCCAGGCCGATGGCCGATCCCAGCACAGGCCAGAAGGCTGAGGAGTCAGGCTCCTCATCCCTCCCTGCAAGGCTGGAGGCTGCTGCCCTCAGAGCAGTGAAAGCCGCTCATTTTAGCAGCAAAAGCCACCTACTCAGCAGCTAAATATCACCCTGTCCCATCCCACAGCAGAAGCATCTCCACCACAGGAATCAGCAGCATGTCCCACTGAAGCACCACAAGCCCAAAGCCCTCTAAGCAACCCACTTCCTCCCGGTCAGATCAACCAGCCCCTAACTGGGGGGCTTTGCACCCCCACTTTGAGCCTGGGATTTCCATCTCAGCTGTAACAGGGCCTCTGCACCCGTGGGCTCGCAGACACAGGCCGGGAGAGGGCAGGCTCAGGGACTGAACACATCCAAGCACTGCCAGACTCTTACCTTAAATTTGTCTCCCAGCAGCTTGTGCACAATCTCCTCTTCTTCGTTTGCTGTCTTACTGCAGAACTGGGAGAAGGCCTTGATCCACCACTCCTTGTCTTTAGCCTGACAAAGGAATCAAGCAAAGGCATTGCACCAACACGGCTTTCCTCCCCAGCCAGGAGAGAGGGATGGCGAGGACAAGCCCTGCTGAGCTCAGAGGTATCCAGCCTGCTATCAAGAACCACCAGAAGCAGTTGCATGGTGGTAGTTTATTGTCAGAACAAACACTGAGAAAGCCAGACCAAAGAAACAGAGCCAAAGGAAAGGTTCAGTTCTGACTAACTATTTTGGTACAGAAAAAAGACCTGCTTGGCTCAGGACATAGGAACCTCCTTTGCTGCCTGCTGTCTCCATGACCAGGGACCACTAGATGGTGAAATCTATTCAAGCAGGCCCCGCCAGTCACCAAAGAAGAGATCAGTCCTTGGGAATAACAGCCACAACAGGAAGAGGAAACCACACAGTGGGAGCTGTGGCTCCAAATTGCAGACGTACCTGTTTGACAGTGGCGACCATCCGGGCCATCAACATGATGCTGGAAGTCTCCGGTGGATAATGCATGTTTCTGGGGGATAAGAATGAAGAAAAGAGATGAGCAGATCAGTGCTGGTATGGAAATAAAAAGCTGGAGGGAGGCAGAGGCAGCTGCCATCCATGTGGTCAGGCCTGCACTCATCCGTCACACCAAAGCGGCCAGTGCAGCATCCCTGCACAGGGATCCAGTGCCACTCAGGGCAAGGAGAAGCCTGCACCCATCTGCCTGCTCTAACCATACAAATAATCCCCAACCATCCTGTTAAACTAGAACCTGGGTCCCATACAAAGCCCAGGATTGCAGCAAGACCTGGGGTTTGTGACAAGCTTTGGGTCAGGGATGCGCCTTCTCCCCTCTGTGCCCACTTTGTCATCTACAAGCAGGGACAGCAATTTATGTACCCACAGGGATGCTATGAGGAGGATCTCCCAGAGGCTGGAGATCTGCAGGAGCACTACAGAATTGCACTAGTGAGGGATGCGCAGCTCAGTGCTTTGTAGCTCTTTACTGGGATAAAAGCAAGAACCGCTCAGCCATGTGTCCAAACCCTTGCGCTGCCAACACAAATCCACCTGCTGCCCAACCAGCAGGTACAGCTGGGCAGTGTCCCACGGCCACCACCACCCTCCAGCCACCCCATGCAGGGATGCAAAGCAAGGATGGTCCTCAGCCCTGGTCCCAGGCAGCGTCACCCAGCCCAGGAGAGCCACCTCCTCTGCCCATGGAGCAACAGGCAGGTCAGTCTCCTACCTCCATGCCTCCTGCAGCTTGTTGAGGGGGTGCGTGGGGTCGTCACGGGATGGGCCAAGGCAGAGGACCTGGTGGTACTGCTCCAAAGCAGCCTGCCTGCATTCAGCGCTGCAGTACGTCACCTAGAGCGAGGGGCACAGCGCCTGGCATTGGCTATGGCAGCAGGAAAAGGGGGTCCTAGGCCCATCTGAGCCCCAGATCTTTAGCCATCATGATGCAGAAGGGAAAGACAGACACCCATCTCAGGGCACCACAAGCGCTTGGCTGGATAGATGCTGTAAAGGAGTCAGCGACCCCAATGAGACCACAGTCCCTCCCAGCAGCCCCATACCTGGCACTGGGGACACTGCTGGTGCAGGTCTTTCCGGATGCTGCACTGCTCCGGGTGAGGCAGTACCAGGGAGCTCTTCCCCAGCAGCCGCTGGGCATTTTCCTCTGCCGTCTCCAAAGCCCGCAGGCAGTGATCACAGGCTGCGGGGAAACAAGACGGATGGGTACCACAGTGAGAAAAGAGGCCGGGGCCCTGGGCAAGACAGCATGACTGGTACCAACACCACCTCTGAGCTGGAGGCACCAGTCTCTTACCACTCCCTCCATACGAAAGACCATTTCTGTTGCAATTTAAACCCCCCCAGCCCTCATCTGCTGCCCTGTAACACCAGGAAGCTTTTAAGGGCCGTACAATGGCAAGCATCCCCATGTCACTGACCTGTGATGGAGCTCAGCAGACAGCAGGGTCTAGGCAGGACAAAAAAAGTTTAAAATCCTGCTCTTATGACCCTCATTTTTTGTTCTGGCACCTCCGGAGAACGCTAGCACCTTTGTGGGCTGTGCTCTGCGGTAGTGTGATTACGATTAGCACCCACACCACTAAAAAAAAATCAGGGTTCCCACACAGATGGTGCCCGATGGCAGCATGTGGTGCCTTCCTCCAAGGCTGATGGAAGTCACCATCCCTCAAACGACCTCAACGTTTTCAACTTGTCAACTGTTGGTTTAGCACAGAGGCAGAAAAGGCAGCAAGGCCACCTTCCTGCTGGTGCCAAGGCAAACCCAAACCCTTTCCTTGAAAAGCGCGCAGCTCCTTTGGGACCCCGTGGTCATCTCTCCGGGGCAGGTTGACGGGGACAAGCCACCATCGCCGGCCGCTCACCTCGATAGTTGTACAGAGCGTTCCAGAGGAACTGGGAAGACACCACCGGCCTCTCCACAAAGACGGTTTCCCCTTTGCGGATGTTCTTGGTGGCGAACAAGCCTTTTCCCTGCCGAGGGAGAGGTGTGGGTCAGGGGATGAAGCCGAAACCTACCCGGGGGCTAAGGGTACCCTCCGCCCGCCCAGCCTGAGGGGAGACTGCCGGGTTTTTTTACCCTCTTTCCCCACCCCCCCAAAATTGGCTCTGCCGCAGCGTGAGGGAAAGGTACGGACCCCGCGGCGGGGAGGGGACGGACCGACCGGGACCGCTGGGCTCACCTTGGCACTGCTAATGAACCGCGCCTCCGCCGCGGCCCCGGCCCCGGCCCCGGCTCGGACCCCCGTCACGGTGCCGCACACGTCCCCCGCCGCGGCGGCCATCTTCGGGCGGCGACTTCCCCGCTCTGACCCGCCGGGGGCGGGCAGCGCCTCTTCCTCTCCCTCACTCCTCCTCCTCCTCCTCCTTCTTCTCCTCCTCCGCCCCACTCACGAAGATGGCTGCCGGTTCCCCTTCGGGGGTCCGCGCCCGCCATCACCCCACACACAGACACCTCAGCCCCGGGGTGGGAGGGGGCCGGCGGCCATCTTAGCCCTCCCCTCAGCCCACCGCCACTTTCCAGAAACACCGCCAAAAAGCCCCGAAACGGGGCTAGGGCGCTTCCACAGCCGCCCGAAAATCAGATAGGAGTTTTGCTGCCTCTCCCCTATTAATTATTATTATTTTTTTCAACCGTACAGCCGGGGGGGGGGGGAATAGCCTTCATATCCCTGTCAGGCGGGAACGCAAGGTACCCCCTCACAGGGCGAGGAGGCATCGGCAGCTGCCCCTGCGCACCCAAAACCAGCCCGACTTTCCCCCCAAAAAAACTGCAGAACACGCTAAGGTGGCCCCTGTGCCCTTGCTACCTCCTGCTAGGCTGCGTGCAAGCGCCCAAAATCCATGAAAACGCGTGTTTAGTTGTATTTACTAATTCACACCGGCGCTGCCAGTGCCCGTTCGGACTCATCAACCAGGTGCCTGCAGCGGGGTTGGGAATATGGGACGATTTCATATTCGGGGCGTTTTGGGGTGTTTTGGAGTCACTAGATGTCACTGTCGGCTCGTGGCGGGGACACGACACCCGGTGGTAATGCTGCACTGCGTGGCCAGCTGGATCCTGCCACCTCCATGCCCAGGCCAGAGGCCCATGCGGGAGCATGGCCGAAGAGTGGGACACCTCCCCGGCCACCCGGCCGGCGACAAGGGACAGACAAACTGCCTGGGACACCTTCCCCAGTCTGTATTTTGGGGTCTGGCCCCAGCGAACCCAGCAGCAGGCTGTGCAGGGCACTGCTCCGCCACACAATGCCCATACCAGGGGTCTGCAAGGACCCAGACACAGGTGGAGCAATGCTACCATCGGACTCCATTTCAATTATGTCTTCCTGCTAATAGTAGGAAGACTAGCCATTATTCTAACTAACAGCATCACGTCTCCTGTTTTTCCGAGGTTTTGGTGCTAAGTGGCGGGGCGTTTCATCCATCAAACATAAGCTTGAGTTGTGGCCCGGCCAGCAACACTTCAAAGTATCCTTCGTGTCACTGAATGAGCCCTGGTGCCCCCAAAATTAATTTGAAATGTTTGCAAAGCTGGGCTAGGATTGCTTCTGTGTTTGCAGAGCACAAGGGGAATCTTCTCCTGGACTTCAATTTGCTGAAGCCTCAGCCCGGCGGAGCAGGGACTGCACAGAAGGTTTAGCTGCATCCACCTGCAGATGGAGGTTCTTGTTCTTTGGGAGCAGCATCCAGAACCTGAGCACCCCATGCTAGCTAGACGTTATGTTTCTTACTATAAATGTAGTCCTATCTCTGCAGGAACTGGCCCAGAGATAGTAACTCGTGTTATCTACTTTCACCCGTGATATGGGGCCATCTGTCAATTTCCAAACAATTTTTTAGTATTTATTTTGTCCGAAACAGTTTATTAAGAAAAAACCCTAAAACTCAAACTTTTGGGAAGGATGAAAATACGCTGGGGGAGTTTTGTTAATAATTTAAACTGAAAATTATAGAGAGTAGTTGGAAATGTGTTTTCCCTCTGTTCTTTTGACACTTACAGGTTTTCAACTGATCTGTTTAAAAGCTGTTCTTGCTCCATTCCAAATGTTCAAGCTTGAAACGAGTGCAGAGGTTTACCAGCAAACACACAAGTATAGGGAGAAAACAACCTGCTTTCATATTTGTATTGCTATGTCAGGAATGAAAGTGTGTGATAAATCACCCTTTCAAGAAGAAATCGCCCTTTTGTGACTTCTGTTGGCAAGCAGATGTTACTTTTTGACAACAGGGGTCTTATTAGGAGGAGGAAAAGGTGCATTTCTTTTGTTTTCTCTTTTTTTCCACTCAATTTCCTCAGAAACACAGATAAAACTGTACACAGCAAAAAGGATGGATAACCCATCCCTGGCAGCTATTGGGCAAGAAGGCATTGAGGCATCGCTGCCTGCTGAGAACCCAAGGAGCTGCCCAACCCTGCCTCCCCCCAGCCAGACCCATCTCTTCTTAAAATACACTAGATTTTTATTAAGAAGCAAAGCAAATAAATAAGTGACACTTATTAAGAAAAAAAAAAGTTATTTCTATAAATAACAATATAAGAGTAAAGTGATAGAAAGAGATGCAATAAATTATCCTGAGCTGACGGGATGTGGTGCCTGGTACCCTGGGCTGACGTAGGAAGACGAGGTGACAGACCGAGCGCTGACAGCCTGGGCTAAGAGCACTTAGCTGCTAACACACAGGCAGGGAGGGTCGAGCGCTTTGTCCTGACCCCTCAAAGCCCTCCCACCCACCAGAAACACAACTGCTAACTGCATCAGGTGGTTACAGATGTGCTCGCCGAACACTCCAGGTGCCGTTTCCCATGGCACCTGGATGTATAATGAGGAGAGAACAGAGCAACTGCCGTCTGGGCCAGAATCTGCACATCTGGACGAGGGGCAGGGGGTCGTCTGAAGCACCAGAGGTGTTGGAAAGCTGCCTTGTTATAGCAGCTCCAGTCCGCGCACCTCAGCCAGCCCGAGTGCCTCATTCCCTGCTGCAGCAGCATACGCACACCTTGGCAAAATAAGGCAATGCCAGAAGACAGAGAGCCCCACCGGGTTCAGCCCTCTGGCTTTAGGAAGCCAAAACAAAGGCACAAATACACCAAGGCACAGGACAAGAGGAGACACTTCTGTTCCAGGGGCAGCATCAGACCCTGTTCATCTTATTGCAAGAGTAATGATACAGTTTGCAGGTGGGAGCAAAGGGCTTTCCAATTTTCACTTTGTTGTTGTTGTTGTTTTGTTGTTGTTGTTGTGGTCTAAGCATCAAACCTGGGAGTCAAGTTAACCAGGAAAAACAATCAGGGTTGATTGTCCTCCCAGCACAGGTCTCCTAGGAGCACACAGCCACACGCAACGCAAGTGACCCTGTGTTCAAATGCCCTTATGCTCACAGCCATCAGAGACACCGTCTGATTGTCACCCCAGCCTCTCTGCTGGGAACTGATTGTGTGTCCTGGTACTTCAAAAGCAAACAGGAGATCACATGCCTTGCCACAGCTATGGCACCATGAAGCACAACCAGCCTGGTGATGAAGCCCCAGGAATTACAGCACATGGCTACCAAACAGCAGCCAAACAATATTTGCCGGGGTTCCTCCCAGCCAGCTGCAGTTTAGTCCTGTAGCTCCAACTCTTAGATCAAGAGCTTAATGTCTCACTTGGACCAAAGAAGCACAGACATGCCTGTATCCCCCATATCTCCATCAGGCAGACACAGCTCAAGAAACAACAGTGGCAGCTGAATCTCATCAGCTGTTCAAAGCTCAACGTCCACGGTGTCCTCCTCGTGGTCCTTGATATCCGTCGAGTCCGCGGTGGCAGGCTGTATCACCCCGAACTGCGACAGCTTTGCCGCCTTCTGCTCCATGCTCTGCTTCCTCCATTTGATCCTCCGGTTCTGGAACCAGACTTTCACCTAGCCGGAAAATGGCACAACAGCTTAATCCAAGGTCTCCATGAGCCCCTTTCCAATGGCAGCCATTGCCACATGCTCCCAAGGCAAATGTCCCCAAAAAGCAGAGTTCCTTAAAGAGGGGAACATGACCCTTCTCTGCTCAGAGCACAGTGCATGTGAGCAGGAGGAGGTGATGCTGTGGAAGGAAGAGCGGTGCTGGGAGAAGGGACCAGGGGAGAGGGGGATGCATCTGCACAGAGGAGGCTTTGGCCAGGGGAGTGAAGGAAATGCCTCCCCTACCTCTCACGAGCCACTGAACCCATCCCCGGGGCCACGACTGCCAGAGGGCGTGATGAGACACCCACCTACCCCCTGCCCCCACTCCCTGTACCGTTCACACCCTCACTGTACCCCCCAGAACCGCCCTTGCTTTGCTCTCCCTTTTTCTCAGCTGAATTTGGATCCCACCACGGAAGATCACCTGGCTCCTCCTTTCCACAATAAAAAAGCAGCTTGCAGTGGCTTGGCCAGAAACTTAATGATCCAGCGTCACAAAAGGACACTTAATGCAGAGGATCGTAGTTAGTCCAACCCAGCTTGAACTCTAAAGCAAGCAGGTTTGTGCTCCTAAATGCTTTTTGTTCCACTTTATGGATTAAGAAAAGGATGGTCTTATTCATAAACCATCTAAACCTATCTCGCATCCCTCCAGGCACGTGGCTTCAATGTCATCTCGCATCAGGGAGTCCCACGGGTCACTTTGCGTCGTGTCCTCCTCCCGCTGCGCTTCATGGCAGGGGAATCACCACAGACCAAACGCAGACCCAGGATCTACGCCACCATCCCCAGCTCCATTTCTTACCTGAGTCTCTGTGAGATGCAGAGTTGCAGCCAGGTCTACTCGCTCTGTGCCCACCATGTACTGCTGCTTGAGGAACTCTTGCTCCAGCCGCTCCAGCTGCTCTGGTTTGAAGACTGTGCGGACCCTCTTCATCTTGCAGGGCCCCCCAGACCTCCAAGGCCCAGCGGGGCCCAGCGAGTTGGCGCCTACACAGTGAGACAATGCCAGACCTGCAAGCAAGAAGCAGCGACTGAAGGGGTCTGCATGTTTGAGGCCATTCCTCCAGCCCTGTTGATGTGCCAAACCCAGCTTGCTTCAGCTGTAGCAAACAGCAATGCAGCTGCTCTATGCACTAAAGGGGGCTGTGAGAAAGTAGCACCAAAAAGAAAAGCAGGGATGTCCCTATCCTGTCCCTTCCTAAATCATCTCATCTAGGCTCCCTTTCCCACAAAAGGTTGGACCAGATGATCTTTCGAGCTCCCTTCCAACCTATTCTGTGATTTGACTCATAGGTACAACCTGGGACAGTCCTGGACGTGCAACCAGACCCAAAGAAGTCAGCGCTTAATGAGGTGAGCAGGGTTTGACCTCCATCAATACAGGATCTTTGTAACAGAATAATAAAGTCCATCAAGAACTGCTGAATGCAAAAATCCCACCTCCGTCTCGAGAAGTCCCCAGTCACAAATGTCTGAAGGTTGGGGGAGTTTACCCCATGCTGGCCCCTGCTTTTACCCTTCCCTTGGCACCCGTAGTCAGCCAGCGTCCAGGAGAAGATACTGAAGGTGGCAGACTGGCTTGAAGACAAGAGTCACCAGCCCTCGTGCAGGTCCTCATCCTGAACCTTAGTCAGGTTCAACTCATCCTTAAAGTTCCTCTGTGTGCAGAAGCATTAGCAGGACTAACAAGTGGATCTGGTCTCAGTCTCCTATCTAGTTCTGGCCTGATGATTACCATAATTACCTAATTAACATACAATACAACATCAGCACTGTCACAGGACCAGCCGGCACCAGCCTAAGAGCAGTGCTGTCTCTGGTTTCTAAAGCTGTCTTCCTGCCAGCACAGACTTTGATTCACACACATCTTAATGTTCAAAAGGAGTCAGCGTGTGACTGCTACCCCTGACCATCTCCCAGGAGCCACAGATCTCATCAGAACCAGTTCTGTCCTTCTGAAGGACCTTCACAGGAGCCAGATCTCACTGCTGGGAGGACTGCAGGGTGGAGAGACCTCAGTCAAGGGCTGAGGAAAGAGGCCTGCAGCCATCAAAACAAAAAAACTCTGCATCCGTTGATGCTGGTTCTGAAGTTACGACATGCACAGAAACATTAGTGTAGACTTTGCACATCTGAGTGTGGAGCACTGGAGGGAGAGTCAAGCCCATCTTGCTCAATGCCAAAAACTCCTGTTCTGAGCCCCAGAAAGACTCCAAGCAGTGGCACCTGCCTGCACAGGCCAGACCGCTGGGTGCCCTGAGAACACCTCCAAGTATCAAAGTACAGTCCTGAAGGTATTAGGAACCAGATAAGGCCAGCACTAAGATATGTCTGATGGTACCACAGCTTCTGTCCTGCCAGCACTCAAGCACCCACTTAACTTTAAGAAAGAGAACCCACTAGTACAGCCAACGGGACTTTTCTGGGTGGAAAGCAAAGTATGCAGTATGCATCTGCAGGATCAGGCCATTAACGCTCCCCCACCATTGCCATCCTGAAATCTCAGCCCCCGGGCAATGCGATCTGGCTTTGAGATCAGCTCTGCTTTGAGCGGAGCTCCTGCTAAGCCAGAGTCATTGCACAGGCATCAGGGTACAGGAGGGACATTGGACTGGTATGATATATCTATAGCTTGGCAAGTTTCTTTAACTTTTATGGAAATATGGTACATAATTATGCCAATTCACACCCGCTACTTATCTCTCCTTTAATGACTGATGTTGTCATGTTCTCCAGGCACAAATGGGCACCCTGACCTACTTTGTTTCATTAACTGGGTGTAAATTCTACGGGTGTTTAAGGATTTGTGGGATGGAGACCTGACAGCTTAACAGCCGTAATTGCACTTAAAACTATTTTCATCATTAAAATAATTTCACCCGTCACATTTTTTCTATTTTAATACTGGGATAATAGCAAGTGTAACTTCAAACATGAAATACTTTGTGGAAATAGCTTTGCAAATTGTTTAACTATATTTTCATACTTGTATATTTGATATAATACATAGATTAATGCAACTATGCAGATGCTGTCTCGTAAAAGAAAGAATAGATTCAATAATTATGCTAAGCAGTTAAAAAAAAGGATCAAGAGTACAAAGCAAATACTTTTGGTACCTGAATATAGTAGCTATCAGGATCAAATCAAGAGTACCTTATACAAATAAAATACATGCTTGGCTGCTGGTTTTGCCTGGGCAACGACGAGACCAGGCTCTGAATGCTAAAAAGATACTTAATTTCAAGAAAAATATTCTGAATAGAGGTACTTCATTAAAACAAATGAGTCGTTTTGCTTATAAAAAGTTGCAGTACCCCTCAGTGAAAATAGAGAGCCTGATGGATTAGCCGACATCATCCGTCACCACTCTGTAAATTTTACCCACGGATCAACGACAAAATCCTTATTCCTTAGGTGCTTTTGCACTAAAAATACAAAGTTTTTGGGGCCGGACGCTGTGAAACACTCCACAGTTTCACTTCTGCAAGTGAAAAACTGCAAGGAGAGCAAAATTACAGCCGGACTGAGGGCAGCTTTGGGAGAAGAGGGGGCCCCACACAACAGCAGAGGGGTGCTGGCATGGTGCAGAAATTACTTGCAGGGCTGAGGCTTTGGGAAATTACAGCAGGGTTGGGGAGGCATGATGAAAACACAGGCATTGCGGTGCCTTTCTAGTACATGAAAAGAGAAATAAATGCCGGTGTGTGCAAAGCTACCCTTAAAATGCAGGTGGGGGCACATGGGGGGGCTGTCCTTGACCTGAAACCTTCTCCTGAAGTCAAGCCTGAAGTATGTAAATTGCGTCATCTGGGTCTCACTTCACCCAGTCATTTAATGTTGGGGGTAGATGGCTAATATTAATTATCGATCACTACAGAGGGGGAAAAAAGAAATATTAGGAAACTCTTCCCTCTCCCTCCTTCATTTCCCACAGCCCCAACGCAGCTCTTCGCCTTGGGGTTGGTCGAGAGGCTGCGGGAAATGAAACTGCAGCCGTCGGAGGAAAGGAAAGGAAAAAATACAACAAAAGGAGGGGGAGGGCAGTTTTTGGTGACCCAAACCCCCTTATTTTCCAGTGCGGGTGATGCCAGGGTCTCCGCACCCCCCCCCTCCCGCTCCGTCCCCAAGACCCCCCGTTCCCCACCCGTG